CAGGATAATGGTCCAGACATTGGTAACACTCAGCTGTGGATCTCGAACACTGGTGCAACCAATCATGTGACCCCAGATATTGATGCATTGTCTACCTCGGAGGAATATGTTGGTAATGACACCTTGCGTGTCGGTGACAGTATGGGTTTATCTATTAGTCATGTTGGCCATGCATCTTTTAATACCTCGTCTAGGTCGTTTAAAATGTCTGATATTCTTCACGTACCTCGTTTGTCAAATTCTTTATTATCGCTTCAAAAGTTTGCGTCAGATAATAAAATTTTCTTTGAGTTTCACCCCTTTTTTTTTATTTATTTATAATTTTGTGAATGATCTCAATACCGAGGAAACTTCGGGGCAATAGCTCTGGGGGGCTATACACGCTACCGTTACCCAGTTCATCTCCCTCCGCGTTTCTTTCCGCTCTTACCTCTGCATCAGTTTGGCACAATCGTCTTGGTCATCCTCATCATCGAGTTCTTAGTCGCATTCTAAAATCTTGTTCAGTTAGTGGGTCAAATAATATTATTCGTTGTATTAGTAATTTATGTAATGCGTGTCAATTGGACAAGTCTGTCCGTTTTCCATTGCCATGCATTGTTTCCTCTAATTCGGGTATTCTTGATTTAATATACACAAATCCAGCTCCTATATTATCTACAATTATCCCGATCAGTTTATCCCAGCTCCTATATTATATACTCCTTGTATTTGAGTCAGTTTATAAATTCTTATTCCAATCATTCTGTGACTCTTCTCTGTATATATTCTCATTATCAATACTCTTTGTAATCACCACATTCAATATAATTGTTACCGTTCTCATCAGATGTATAAGACTTGAAGTTAACGATATAAGGAAATTAAATTGGAATAGATTCATTCTTTCGATTACTTTACACCTTTGAAACAAGATTCAAATAGAAATTTAAAATGTATTTCTTTTTAAAACGGGCTTTTAAATATTTTTAAAAATTTCTATAGAGTTTCAAGAACATGAAAACTCTCACTCTAGAAAGTTCTCGTGCATCATAACTAAGATGTTGTGGCCAAATCGTTCACTGAATGTGTACGTAGATGTTCTGTATTTAGTTTTTATTTTTAACATTAAAAATAAAAAATAAAGGCCATCAAAGACCAATCATTATTGTATGGACCATGGACCACACAAGTTATGTGGACCATATTTTGTCTACTGTAAAATAATGTACATTCAGTACAAATATAATTTACATTTAGTACAAAAATAATGTATATTGTATTCAGAGAATGTACATTATTTTTGTTCTGAGTGTACATTATATTGTATAATGTATATTCAGTACAAAAATAATGTACATTTAGTATATTAAAAATGTATTTTTTGTTATGATTCACCTAACATTGTGTGGACCATTTGCCATCAAAGACACACTACACTGCAACTCTATATTTATAATTCTGTACTCATCCATCTAAAAGTTTGGGCCTAACTTTATGTGTGTAATATTCAGCCTTAGAAATTAGAATGCTTTCATATATTGAGATGTGTCTAAACCCAGTGGATTTAAAGTGAAATAAAATTATTAAGAATAAAATAGTGCCAATTCCTGGGCCAATATTTGTGTTTGAGTTGGCCCATACTCAAACAAACTGGACTTGTAATTTCTTGGAAAATCAACAATGGTGAAGGCAAATTATTGTTTGGACCATGGTCTAAACAATGTTCTGTGAACCATAATAAAATTATATTTTTAATATACTCATAGACACAAAAAATTTGAACTCAAAAAATGAGTCGATAAAATTATTATTGGACCCAATGTTAAGATTGATTATTGGACCGATTTAATTAATTGGGTCATGATAATTAAATTAATTTAATTAGTCCAAGTAAATTTGATTCGCGCTATTGAATTAATTAATTAAATGGTCCAAGCCTAATTCATATTTAAATTATAATCATAATTATAATTTAAATATAATATAATTTTATTATGTTTGAATTGGATAGTTATAATTTAATTTGAATTTGAATTAGATAATAGAATATTGAACTTAGACTTTTTGGCAAGGTTCATTTTTTAAAATAATTAATTAATTTAATGTTTAGGGAGTTTGTTAAGGGATAGTGGTTACATTTGTCAATATACATTGAACCCTCATTTGACATCTTAAAACACACTTGAAGATTTGGAGAGCTCATTGAAGGCTTTGAAGGCACAACTTGAAGGCTTTGAAGGCACAACTTGAAAGGCATTTAAGGCACAACTTAAAGGCATTTGAAGACTTCAAGACATTTTGAAGATCTTGAAAGCATTGAAGGCATCTTAAAGCATACTTGAAGGCATTGGAGGTACTTTGAAGCTCTGCAAAGTTGGCTATCTTGAAGCTTGACATTTACTGTTGAAGATCGTGGACATGAATAGCTGGATGATTACTTCACAAATGTGACTTATATCTCTCAGGACTTCATTTTGTTGTTTTTTGTTCATAATTTGTTTTTTTGAAATTCCATGGAGGAAGGCTCATAGAGGACTTTAAATTGTAATGATAACATGTAATGCAAAGCAAGGCCATCAAATATATCCCCCCTTATGTTTCTTACATGAAAATGTCACAACATTTTGATGTTTTGTCCTTTTTAATAATAATTTTGTTCCCCTGTCAGAGAACTTCACATGCCCAGTGGTTTATTATATTTTGATACTTCCTATCACGATAATTCAACATTGAATATATTTTACATTTGTGATCTCTCTTTCACAGAAATTCAAGCATCATCATGCAATTAGACCCCTTCTTGAGGGTGGAACAGTTCTCCAATATGGTGCTTGATGGGGTGTGGACCCCGGCCCAAGAAGGATAAGTACAAAAAGAGAAGCCCAAGAGGAAGGGGGAAGTCCAAGAATGACGAAGAAGCCCAAGAAGAATAAAAAACGGCCCAAGGGGTGGGAATCTGAATAAGTAATGAAGCCTAGAAGAAACTAGGGCCGAGTCCAGCTGGAGTCGGCCCAAGTCCAAGGAAGGGGTAAGTACTTGGCCGGATCAGCAAAGAGCTGTTGCGCGGCATTTATGACGGCATTGAAGAGCTCGGTCAAGGAGCCGTTGGGAGGCCCAGATCATCTATGGAGAGTGTTCTGATGATGGAACTATAAGTACTCTTATTCGACGAGAACTAGGGTTACGCTTTTGGAGAGAGAAAAAACACTCTATATGAATTTATGAGATCCCATCTTTGATTAGACTGCTCCTTCTCAACACAACATGTGTATGGTGATTATGATGAAGAACATGAGAAGGATTCTTGTTGCTTAAACGAAAGGACACTACGATCACACAGTTGTGGGAACAACTGAATAGAGCGTCATTGAAGTGGACAGCATCAGAGTTGGCTCTCCAAGTGAAGGGATTTCATTGGACTTCTGTATGCATGGCTCTCCATCTTCAACAATTCACTAAACCTGTGTAGACTGGGTACGTACCTTGTGTGGGGCACTTGGGTGAGATTGTTATTTCTCTACCTTTGTACATTGGATTATGATTTAGTGGATTGGACGCCTATGTGATCGTCCCCCAGACGTAGATACACACTGTATCGAACTGGGTAAACAGCTTGTGTGTTGTTGTGTGTTGGTATCTCTTTCTTTTATCTTTTCAACGATCTATCTTACTGACTGACTTTGTCGATGAATTAGTCAGTCTATTTCATCAGTCAATTAATCCAGTAAACTTGATATAGAATGAGGAAATGCAAAATTACACTATCATAGTTATCAAAGGGAGCTGATCTAGTGGCTCGATGATCCCTTCGATAGCTCATCGAATTGTTTCAACAGTGTCCAGAGGAAAATCAATGCAGAACAAAAAGCGAAAATTATACAAATTCAAGAAGAAATTAAGGAAAATATGAGAATTAAAACAAGAAAAAGCGAATTAAGAAGCAACTGAACTGGGTTAGTTTCCGAGATTCAAAATTTCTTTCATTCATTCTTTTTTCCTTCAACAGTTCTAGGAATTCGAGAACCAAATCCGGGTAATCGGCAAGCTGGTTCGACATTCCTAGGCCAAGATGGTGCGACAGCGGAAGAGGGCCTCTACCGCCATGGAAATCGAGGTTCGCCGGGAGATTGAAGCACGTCGTGAAGTGTAAGTGGGACTGGAGAGTTTGGTTTGAATTGTTGTTTGAGAACAGTCACATTTGGGACTCTGATGGGGCGTCGCCAGAAGTGCTCTCCGTTGCGGCGGGGAGAGCTTGGCCGCTCTCGCCACTGTTGCCAGAGATGAACGGCAGCATCCAATGTGCTACCGCTGCTCGGTGCCAGAGAAACCGCCCACATGGTGGTTGCCGGCATCGGGGCAGTGATTTGTCGGAGAATGTAGGGATTTATTTGGCATATACATAGGAGAATTATACACTTAGCATGTTAAATGACTATTTTGCCCCTATATTTAACATTCACTTAACTAGCTTGTGACGGAAGGACCAACATTGGAAAGAACTCGAAAGTCAAGTGTCTAAATTGTCCAAATTGAAAGTCGATGACCAATTGTGGAAAATCAACATAATCGGAGGACCATTGCTGAAACTAACTCTAAATTTATAGGTGGCAATCCACTTTTAATCTTCTTCTTTTTTTTCAAAACATCATCTTTTAGTTTTAATATTATTGTGGCATGACCATTTTTGGTCATCTATAAACAAAATAGTTTAAATACCGTTAAATACAAAGGCATTTTGGTCTTTAATTATGATTTTTTTCAAAAAGATAAGCATAAAAAATATAACAGATCAACACATTTTTAATTAAAAAATTGAAATGTCCTTGTATTTAATGACATTTTAACGATTTAGTTGATGGAGAATCAAAAATAGTTATGCCACAATAATACTAGGATAAAAAAGAGATGTTCAGATAAAAAAAAAAAAAAAAGACTAAAAGTGAACTATTAGGACAAAAATGAAATTAACTCATAATATATCTTGAGTATATTAAAAATCATATTACCGAAAATAATTTGCCCTGTTTTGTTGATTGGGTTGATTCGGCGATGCCCACGTAGTATTTGAGTTATTTCCTCTGAGATATACAAATTTCCCGCGAACCTTTTCTCTGTTGTGCAAGGGCTCCGATCGGAAGAGCATAAAAATTAAGAATGTCTGAAGAGTCACCGTCTTCTTCATCGTCTGATTCCGCCATTCTTCGCCTTCAACATCACCTAGCTTCATGCTCTCGTGTAAGCCTACTCTCTCACTTTGTTACCTGTATCTGTAATGTATGTGAGTGTGCAGTTGAGGTGTGTTGCTGATTTGCGTATGCTGCAGTCGATTGAAGCCGGAGATTACAGTGATTCCGATCGATCGGTGTCGGAGCTCGTTATATTTCTAAACTCGACTTCGGATACGGTTGTGCAAGAAGCGGAGAATGAAGACTCCGAGAGAAAAGCCTTCCAAATTCTTACGGAAATTCATAGATTCACGACCTCTCCTTCTCTGAACCTGGTATTTTTCTAGTTAAATTGAACTTAAAAAACTAGTTCATCAAGAAAAGAAAAGAAAAGCATTTGCATCGATTTATTTCGCTGTTGAGGCATAGTTCACTGTTGCCGCGTTTGTTTCAGGAAGTTCTTGAAGCACTATCATTTGAGTTGCCGAAGGCAGTGTGTAGATTTGCCTGCGCATCCAAGAGGTGTTCCGATCTCGCTGAAAGTTTTATTGATCATCTACTTGAGAAGTGTGGTCCACGCGAGATGCTTTCAATTCTTTGTGATGTATGACATTTAACTTGTTACTAAGCTGTTGCTGGAGTTCAATGCATCTTAATCCTTCTCCCTTTTTCTGTTTGTCTCGATGGTCCTAAAATTTATAACTTCTTGTTTCTTATGTCTAAATTTGAGTATATGTGTTATGTACTCAGTTTGTTTTTAAATTGATTATTTGTTTATTTATTCTTTTAACAAATTTCTCTTGCAATTTGTTAGGCATTAAGTTCTCCAAATGAGCTATTCCAGACTTCTCTTTATTATGCACCTCTTCTGAGTGGGGTTGCAAAAGGTAAAAGCATGAAAAATGTTTGTGCTTATTTGTAATTTGGAAACACATGGGTAAGCTGGGCATGTTTTATCTCACTGTGCCTCTTACATAAAACATATTCAAAGTTTAAAAATATCTTTAGTTTATTTGCTGCTAAGTAATTGTCACTTGTAGTGGGATATTTGAGCATATTCATCAAAATCATAGCATTGGGCGTCTTTTAGTAGATTTACATTTTTATAGTCTCATTGTTTATATTCAGGTATCAACTGCAAGTTCATATGCTACCATTATTTATTTCATGCTATAACTTCCAAGAAACTAATTTTATTTTTGCCATTTGGGTTGAACTTCCATTATGGTCATTTTGGTTTCAGTTCTAATACGCATCCAGAGACGGCAATTTGAGCAAGTAAAAGCTGCAGTTCCTGTTGTTCTTCAGGTTTTAAATTCCATGGCATTACAGACAGATGATGAGGATGCTGATGCTTTTGACATGTTTTCCAAAGCAATTGACATTGCAGATTCTGTTCAGGCAGTCTGTGCAAAGTTGGTCAGTGACACTTCTACACGATTGATCTTACATTAAATAATATCTATTTGAGCCTTAAATGGATTTCATTTTTTTTGGATAAGAGCAGATGGATAACCAAAAGCTGCATGCTCTTTTTGGCCTTTTGATCTTGCAACTAATGGTAAATGCTACTTACACAAGATCTCATCTATTAGTTCTAGTTATTTTTATTTTTGTTTGAGTTTTACAGAGTACTATATTTACTCCCTCTTTTTACTCCATTCTTCATTCTCTGTTGACATGGCATACACTGATTAGCCTAGAAAAAAGGGGTCTGTATTTTTTCTTTTCCTTTTCTTCCTTGAATAAAATCAGGACATGTGGCATAAGCACTACTCTCTGGGAGTACACTTAGCATTTCCCTTTTTGTTTGAATGCATTTGCAATGTCCCTATCAATTCCTTATTTTGCATTTGTTTTATGTAACAAATCATTCTTGATGTGCAGGGTGTTGTTTCTCTAGCGTCGAGGGCTAGAACAGCAGACTTTCTCTCTATCGTGCTCCACTTATCACACTTCCTTCACTTTTGTGGTTTGTCATATATTGGCCTAATTACTGGTTGCGATGTTGATAAGATCACAAACATTATGGTTCAAAGTGAGTTATATGCTTTCTATTTTATCGATCCTGTTTAGGAAACTAAACATTGCCATATAGACTGGCATCTCAGTGTATTGCTTGGTTAGGAAGTGTATCATTGTTCAGCAATCCACTAAACAACTTCTGGAAAATGTGCAGATGATAGGGATGATGAGATAACTCAATTTTCTTATGTCAAACATGGTGCATCACTGACAGGTTTTATGTACTATATATATTTTCAGTTATTTACATAGATGATGTTTGATGTATTAATACTTGTTCCTTTTCAACTGATATATTGCTACAGTAATTTGGGGTTACAAATTTGGTGATGTGGCTGTGGCTGCTGCAGAAGATATAGCAGCAGTAGGAAAAGAACTTCAAAATAATCAGACTAAGAGATGGCAGGCAGTAGGCATGTTAAAGCACGTCTTCTCTTGTGCTAAGCTGTCATGGGATTTAAAGAGGCATGCTCTTGATTTCTTACTCGGCATTATGGGTGGATGTGAATGTCATGTAGCACAAGATGAAGACATTGACTGCTTCTCCTATATGCCCTCTCTTCACGCTGGATTGTTGGTAATATGTTTCTTTCTTATGTTCTCTACTGTTTCTATCTCTTCTTTATCCCCTAACATCTGAAATGCATTTGGCAGGCTATTCAATCAGTCATTATGTATGGGCCTAATGAGGTTATACGGAAGAATGCTTATGAGGCATTCAACAAGGTTTTAATTTGTCCCTTATTTTAAAGTTCTATGTATTTGAGTATTTCTTGAGTATTTGAGTACAATTTGAAGTTGCATTTGCATATTAAAGCTTTATTAGTTGCTTTATACAACAGGTGCTTGCTGACATTCCAAGTTCTCTGAGGTTTGAACTCTTAAAAGCTTTGGTAAAGAATTGCAACTCATCTTCCATGGTATGCTATGGCTGAATAGCCATGAAAGTACATTGATTTGTTTAAGTTTCAACTTTAGCTGTCAAAAACTGTATTTAAGTATAAGTACCTTTTGCAGATTGGAATTCTTATGGATTGTGTGAGAAGGGAAATGCATGCAGAATACAGTAAAAGAACCTCAGTGGACAATGGAGGATTAGAAGCAAAGGTTGTAGCCTCAAAGTGCCCAATATTTTGGGATGACAGCATTCTTGATTTAGTAGAACTGGTTCTCAAACCTCCAACAGGAGGCCCTCCATCCCTTCCTGAGTACACTGATGCAGTAAGCATGTGTGTGTGTGTGTGTGTTTGATAGTTTCCCTCTGACATTGCAATTTGTGGACTTTCCACTCTGATATCCTTCCATATAATAATAATAATAATAATAAGGGATGCCCTTCTAACACGACAAATGTTGATGTTATGTGCTGTCTGTTATTTCGATGGGTTTCTGTTGAAAAAGAATTGCATTTACTGCCATAGTAACTGAAAGGTTTACATGCTGCATTTCAAGAACTAGGCTCATTTGCATTCTGATCTTATCTTGGTTGGTGCTTGTTGGGTTTATTGGGGTTGGCCAAACATAAACCCAATTTCTGATCTTAAGGCTAGATAATAGAGAGCGAATAGACACGTGGGAATGTAATCTTTCTGTATTGCCTTGTGAGAATCTCCGTATAAGTGATTCCAGAAATATATTAGGTGGTCAACTATTTATACATTTTGCATCTATTAATTACTAGATAGAGGAGCAATAATTAACATAACTTCCAAGTACTGGGGTAATAATTAAGTAATTAGTGGGCAAAAATAAAATAATTAAGTAATTAACAAAACTGCTAGATAGTGGGGAGTGGTCTTCATTATGGCAGTTACAAAATCTTCTATTAAATGCTGTCAATTGAGGACTAGGACTAATCTTCCAAGGATGAGGACTGATATTCCGAGAACTGAACCATGAACGGAGAGTCCCACAACTGAAACCCTAGGGCCAAAGCGATGGGCTTCTTTCCTGGGCTGAGGGGCATACACCCATCAGTGCTAATGATGGAGTCCCAAATAATATATCTTCAAAGTTGACTATTTGTTTGGAACTATTTTATCTACTAAACCTTGCATGAATTGTTTAAAATGTTTACAAGATCTGCAGAATCTCTGTTCTCTCTCTCTCTCTCTCTCTCTCTCTCTCTCTCTCTCTCTCTCGTTGCTAAATTACTATTCTCTGAAAATTTCTTTTACACTGCAGGTTCTAGCAGCACTAAATCTCTACAGGTTCGTGCTGATTACGGAGTCAGCTGGTAAGCAAGTAATTATGTGAGGCGTGTGATTAAGAAAGAGTATGTATGCTAACTTTGAAATAAACAGACGTAAGAAATAAAGAAAGAAAGAAATGACAATTGTGCTTTTGGAATCTCTCTAAAGGCCTTTAGGATCCTCGCCTACAAGAATTTAGTGGAATATCTCTGCTAAATTAAAGAAACTGAGGAAACTTTCAATTGAACTTATTAAAATTCTCCTAGAAGTGTATAGATTAAAATCTATGTAGTACCTTTGGTGTTCTGCTCAAGCACCATTGTATTTCCATTCTCCTGTCAACTAGGTTTAGTGTGTACAAAATGCAATGTTGTCATGTTTCCAGAAAAATTATGGAGTATGTCTCATTCTTCTTCTTCTTCTTCTTCTTCTTAATGAATGCGATTCAATCAAGTGTCTTGATTTATATGCTTACTTGCTTCTGGTGCTCCATTCATCTTGTGATGCCCTTTCAGTGGCACGTTTACCATCTGCCTTATACTATACTTCTGGCAGTGAATTTTGGGTAAATGAGTTTTTGTTGAAACAGGAACCAATAATTGCTTTCATTTGTGTTCATGGAACAGGGAAAACCAACTACACCAGTGTGCTATCCAAGGACAAATTAGAGATGGCTCATAGTGGATGGCTCTTGCCACTTCGCACATTAGTTACCGCAATCATGGCAGAAAACCAGGAAGATTACGATCAACTGTCGCTGGATACAATATGTTCCCTCAACCCCATTGTACTGGTTTTATTCCGTTGTATTGAATTGGTTGAAGAAAACATGAAACTTGCAGTTTAGCTTGAGGCATATGGCTACACGTTTGAGTAGACAATGAGGTAAGCATAATTAGCTAGCTTGTAAGAATTTATCCTTGAATTATGAAGATATGACAGTGAACTAGAATCATTGCCAGAAAAGGAAAAGTAAAAGTTTGTGTTTTCATGTTTTTAAGGATTTAATTACGCAGAAACAAGATATGTGGATTAAATTTCTGTTCCGTAAATAGAAAATAGAGGAATAGAATAAATAAAATATTCATTTGTCTCTAAAACAAGACTAACTAGCAGAAACCTGCAAAATTTATGAATTAATTTCTACATATAAGCTGTTTATATGTTCTCTACACTACTACCCCCCCAGCAATCTCCTTCTCCATATAGTCGTAACTCACAAACTCCATTGCATGCAAAATTCCGAGTTGTGAGCGAGCTATCACATCTGAGACTTTGTCTCAGGTGGAAATGATCTTTCTTCTAATATGTAATTTACAAGTGCAGGCTTCTCAGCCATATGCAACCAATGCTGCTTCGAGAAAATCAAGAGAAATAAACGGTTTCTCTTGAATCAATCCCACAGTGATCCAATTTCCTCTTCTGATGGCTCCATGTTAAGATCGGGCAGGATGAAGCATCTATTGTTCTGGGATGCGACCGCTTTCTCATCCCTGCATGAATCCGATGAGACTGGATCATCTTTTGTTGTATTATGTCTAGGCAAGACAGAAGAAGGTTGTGTCTTTGTTGATTCCAAGTTAACCGGTTGTTGATTTGCTGATTCTAGGTTTAAATCAAACTGCAAAACCAACAAAAGATGATTAAGGATTTGTAAGTTAACAAATGCTGCTGCTGAGAAACAGATTGAAATTTTGCTTACTTTGATCTTCTTCAAGTTGTCACTCCTTGCTCTTTGTTGATTGAGGGTGACATGCATTGAAGCCAGTTCCTATTTATTTAACCCCAAATGGCAATTAGACACACTAAAGAGGCAAGAGAATAAATTTGCAAAATGCAATCTTGAGTGTTATATAGCGAATACGCATACCCTCTCCAAGTGTACCCTTTCTTTCAAAAGTGAGTTCTCTTCCTCCTTAAGCTCAGCAAATGTCTGCCATTAAATAAAATCAAGCTTAGTTACCTTACAGATTCAAGAGAACATGAATGTCCGACTGGAATTCCGGATTATCTTCAAGTTTACCTTCTTCCTTTTTGATCTTTGGCTGCTAATGTTGCAGAAGATTTCATTGGTGACAGTGCACTGCAAAGATACACAATATTCAATTCGGATTAATCACTAAACAAAACACCCATATTTACACAAGAAAGATCAACAGAGCTTATTTAGTACACTTATATATTCCAAGAACCAAGAGTGAGAGGGGCATGCATATAATTGATTCTTGGATTTCATTCACCACTAAAGACAAATACAAATAAGATAAAATGGGCCCATTTACTAAACAAGGCCCATAATAGCGAGTGTGGAATCAGGTCCAAACAAGGGCCCACAGTCAGGCCCAAAATGGCTTTCCGCCTTTCCCATTTATAGCATTGGCATTTGGCAATGCAATCCAACGCAGAGGCCTCAAGGGAGACACAACCAGTGAATGGAAGACACGTAGGAAAAGCAACATGACCAGTCAGCCCAACCCGGGAGGGACCCACTAGTTCAGAAATCACACACTGCTAGTCTGCTACTACTAACTATTTTAAGAGGAGAGACGTGACATCCAAAATCCAAATCTAAGGCACCACCCACCCCAAAAAGGGTACGCGGAGTAGGAGCACTATAATAATAATAATAATAATAATAGAATTGCTTTTAAAAAATACCAATATAATAATAATACTAATATATTTTTTTTTTTGAAAATAATAATACTAATATATATATATATACCTTTTTTGCAGTAAAAATGGTTTTTATTTTTTTTTTAAAGATACCAATTTTATGGTGTATCAAGCAAGCATCCTTATTATTAAATTAAACTTCTGCCGACTTTTCATATTATTCACACTTTCCACTTTCTTAAACCACCTAAAAACAATTCTTAATCTTAAAGAACAAAATTCAAATTTAAACCACTAGATTCCATTCCTTCTCTTCATTTGACATGGGTACACCCAAAACTTTTTATATTAAGATCTGATACAAGACTAGTGAAAATTTTGATCCCAAAATTGGATTGAAAAAATGGTACATTTGATGCTGGCAGTGGCCGGACTCCTTTCTCAAATCTCAAAAAACATCAAACAAAAGTGTCAGCTTTCACCTTTTTAGTCGGGAAGAAGAAAAGAAAATCAAAATCAAAATAAAAAGGAATATTACAATGATGGGATGAAGGTGAGAAGTAAACTGGGTGCCGACTTTTAAAAGACTGGGCCCCACACAGCGTCCATATCAATGCACCAAACTACACAGCTTTGCCCAAATATGAAATAACTACCCATAGACCGCTTGGAATTCAATAGATATGAAAAATACCAAAAAAAATACCGGAAGGCTAAATTGGTCATTTCCACGTTTCGTGCAAAACGGAAGACCAGAATATATTATACTCCGTATTAAAGAGAGGCGAGAAGAGAAGAAAACGCCACATCTCTTTACCCACCCCGAATTTGGAGCGTGTATTCGGAGCCCCGACCCGAACCCGCACCGATTCACCAATCATTCCATTGTTCCCAGATAAGGAAAGATACATACTGCCATACTGCTCCACTCGACAAACCAATCACAATCACAACCCCGAAACTGACACAAGGCGACCGCTAAGAAACCTCCGATTGCAGATCGGGCCGGGCCGGGTATCCGAACGGCCATTATTAAAAAAATGGGCATTTCCCCAACTTATCCAGAACAAAACTTATATATATTACATAAAAATAATAAAAAATGTGTGAATAGAAAATCTGAAAGCGATAAGCAGAGGAAATGGAGGAATGGTTTGGTAACAGAAACGAATATGCCACGTCACGACTTTTCCCATGTCCCAACGCGAGGGAAATTAAGAAGGCAATTGAGGTTGAAATGGTCATTATGCTATGGTAGAGAGTTTTTGCAGAAACGGAAAGGGCAAAATCACAGATCAGGACTGCCGGAATATGACGTCAGCAGCGGAGACTAGAAAAGCCGGACAGACAAATAAAACACAAGAGGCGGGAGGGAGAGTAAGCCTCCATTACTCTGTCGGAGCAAAACAAAAGTCATTGATGAAGAAATGCGGAAGAGATGAGCGAGTCCGGAAGAGATGCGGATACGAACCTTAGATCTGAAGACGGACGACAGATCGGAGGAGGGAGGCGGGCGGCTGGACTCATCGCAACCGCCGTCGCTAGGGGACGCGGAGCCTCCGCTCCACGACAGCGGCGTGGTAGGGCTACGCCTCGCGGCGGACCATTTCTGGACGGACGATGTGGACGGCGGCTTCGAGCGCGGCTGCCGGTTTCCCCAGTGAAACGGCGGGAGGGACAGGAACAAAGACTTCTCCGTTGCATCTGACGCCGGCGACAAGTATGACTGCTTGAGACGGAAGAGCATCTCCACCACCACCGCGTCGTCCATCAGCGCCGCTGCTATCCAATCGTCCTTCTTCATCATCATCATCAATACTAAGCCCGCCCAAGAGAGTATCGAGCTAGAGTGTGAAGATGGAACTCCAACCACTTGTAGTGAAGGGGAAGTGGCGCGCGGTGGCGCTAATGGAGATACGGAGGGTGGCGGAGGAGAGGAAAGAGAGGGAGAGAGAGACAGGGAAGAATTGGGTAAATGTAAGTGAACGAGTTGTGCGGTAGTGTTATATTATATATATATATACGTACATAGGGGCGGGCGTATAATTGTACATGTACAGAGTATTTCTACTATATTTATACGATTGGTAGAAATATTGGACTTTGGAGTGTCTACTTCTTTGGATCTGGTGGGCCTTCTTTTGCTTTTTCCAATTTGAGTTAACTTTCTTTTCTTCTTCTGTTTTTTTTTTTTTTTTTTTTCAACGTATTGAAATGTGGATATACTTTTAATGTATTTCTCCATTTCTCCAAATTTAAAGAATTAGTTAAATGAATTCTTCAAATTCTAAAACAATTATGGAAAAAATGATTTATGAAATTTCAACTTGTTGATATGTCCGAGTGGTTAAGGAGACAGACTCGAAATCTGTTGGGCTTTGCTTGTGTAGGTTCAAATCCTGCTGTCGACGCATTTTATTATTTAAATAAAAAATAATGTGAAAATATTAAAAGGTGTATGAAATTCTAATTACCCCATTTCGTCCCAGAAATTTCTATTCTATGCCGAATGAGAATAAAAGAGATTTTTCTATTACTTGTGTTTGTTTTGTTTGCTTCATATTATTATTATTATTATTACACAAAAGCATTTTAGTCTTTATATCATTTCTTTCTATTAGGACTATATTATTCATATTAGACTAGGACTATATTATTCGTGTTAGACTAGGACTCTATCTAGTATCTCTATATTCGCTCTCTGTACGCGACATTATGATTGAATACAACACTTTTACATACACTCTACATCTGGTATCAGCTTCCAGGTTTTCTCTAATGGAAGGTCTCAGTCTCCTTGATGATGGCTCTGTTCGATCTTCTGAACGGACCGTTACCGAGACTTCCCCTATGCCCACCGGGAATAACCTCTCATCGGCTCAGCACTTTGTTTCCTTGAAACTGACCTCCCGTAATTATCTTTTTTGGCGGACGCAGATGCTACCGTTTCTAGAAGGTCAAGGTCTTCTCGGCTTCATCAATGGTAGTATACCGTACCTGGTCACAGCGCCAGTCGCTGCCGCCGACGCCGTTGCCTCGACTGCCGACAGTTTAGCGGCGGCGGGTGACCTCGTGGCTCGACAGGTGGCTTGGAGGAGGCAAGACAGGGCTATCTTATCCCTCTTGATTTCGTCTCTTTCGGAGGAGACGATGCGGTTCGCCGTTGGTCGTTATACTTCACGACAACTCTGGCTCACCATCGAACAATCTCTCGCCTCTTCCTCGCGTTCTCGGGCGTTGCTGTTATTCGGTGAGTTGCAAGCCCTCCGGCAGGGTGATTCCTCCATCGCAGATTATATTGGTCGTGCACAGCTGTTGATTGATGATTTAGCTCTTGCCGGTTGCGATGTTACGTTAGACAATCAAAACTTATACGTCTTTCGTGGTTTGCGGTCTGAGTTTCGTCCGCTTGCGGCAACCCTAGCTCGGGGTGTTGCGGTCCCGCTTGCAGAGGTGGCGGATTTCTTGGTGTCGCAGGAGTGGATCTGCGCTGACGAGGGAGTCGGCGGTGTACCGCCAGTTGCGATGGCCGCTGGCCGAGGCGGTGCAGCCCCTAGTCACGGTGGTCGTGGCAACGTGACACAGCAGTAAGGTCGCGGTCGAGGCTCGGGCGGCGGCAGATGTGGTCACGGTCGCGGGCGTGGCTCGGGCACGGGTCCTCGGTGCCAAATCTGTAACAAATAAGGACACGGGACTCTCTCGTGTTGACATCGTTTCTCACCCCCCCCCCCCCCTGGATCCTCAAGCGAATGTGGCTGTCTCTAGTGAGAGTGGTGACCACAGCGGCCCTCATGAGTGGTTCCCGGACACTGGTGCTATGAATCATGCTACCCCTGATTCATCCTTGATGACTTCCGCGATAAGTTATGATGGTCCAGAAACTCTGTGAGTCGGCGGTGGTACAGGTTTGCCTATTGTTAATGTTGGCTTCGCTTCGTTAGCTACTGATTCTAGGTCGTTTAAGTTGCATGATGTTTTTAATGTCCATGTTCTCTTTTCTTCTTTATTATCTATTCAACGTTTTGCGAAAGACAATAATGTTTTCTTTGAGTTTCACCCTCTTTGTTTCTATGTGAAGGACATTTTGACTAAGAAGGTTCTTTTACGGGACATGCGTCTGGGGGTCTCTACACATGGCCTGCGTCTTCTGCGTCCCCTGCTGCGCGATCCTCTTACGTTTGTCACATGCGGTTGGGGCATCCTCATTCTCAAGTCTTACGTCAAATTCTAGCATCTTCGTATGTTAGTACCATGGTTGCAGTAGGCGCTAGGCGCTAGTCGGGCGGCCGGGCAGCGCCTAGCGCCTAGGAAGTCTAGGCGGCGCCTAGGCGGAATCTAGGCGGCGCTAGGCAGACACCAAAAAAGTTAAAAAAAATAGTAACAGACTTGTAGTTTGACAATTTAAAACTCTACTATACTTATTCAAAGTGTTTTGTCTGCATGCATATAGTATCATGAGTCGTACGTGACATGAATCTATACTAATTCATTAAATATTTATTGCTAGAATTTTTTTTTATACTTATTATTATACCATCATTACCAAACAAAATAAAAAAACAAAAAGAAAATCTTATATATTTAAAATTTTGTTTAGAAAAATGACACTTTTAGTCTCTAAATTATGAGAAAATTATATTTTTATTTCTCAGTTTAAAAAAAAATATTTTTATTTCTCAATTATACTAGCACCACTTCTTGTTTCTTAATTATTCAAGTAGTGATTTTTTAACTTACTCCTATCAAAACTAAGACCAAAAAAAAAAAAAAAAACACAATTTTGTAGACAATTAAATAATCAAAAGTGAAAATGTAAATAATTGAGAGATGAAATATGTTGTTTTCCTATAATTTAAAAATGAAAATTGTAATTTATCACATTAATTAATATTATAAAATATGATTAATATATTTATTAAATACATATATTAATGTTTGAAATTGATTTTGATTACCCGATAACTCTTCCAAATAAACTAATTAAAATACATTTAAATTAATTTATATATTTACAGTGTTTTTTTTTTTTTTATATTATAGATACTGCGTCGGCTGTTTAAAAAAGCCGACGTCGTATGTGTTTTTTAAAAAATAAAAATTAAATTTAAATATTTAACGTCGGTTTTTCGAAAAACCGACGTTATAATGGCGACGTTAAATCCTTTTCCTGTAGTAGTGGATATTTATTTATTTATCCAAGATATGTAATTTCCATGTAATCTATTCTATAATATGTAGGGAAACAATAACATGTCATTTTGATCCTATTTATTTATAAGAAAATAAAGCGTATAATATAACTATAATACAATATATTTATACATAGACAAACAATAAAACTCATTTTTGTTATTATACAAATATAGGTTTGGTTCATATTAGACTCAAAAAGTTTGATTGTTATTCAAGTGCAGTTATATTCTCAATTTCTTTATCAATTGTTGAGTTTGGGTTTACCTTTATTTTTTATTAGGCAATTCATTAATTTACTTTTAATTTTTACAAAATATAATATTATTGTTCAAGTTCAATTAATTCATATTTTTAATTAAATTTTAGTTTAATTTTTTTTAATACTAGAGAAGAAAATAAAAACACGCTAAATAAACATAGACCAACCCACATCAATAGAGCTAGCTAGCAAAGTGGTCTTGGTCATGATACCTCCCAATAGAATATTATTTTTAAAAAAATATGGGGGTTTGATCCTTGCCACGAACATTGAGCGTTTGAATTTGAGATGAGCTCCTTATGCATAGAAGTGTATAATTTGGTGTTGAGTTTCAAATGTAAATTGACTTGATTTACATCTTCGTGGACTTGAGGTCATGTTCATGGGGTGCATGATATAGTCCATCGAAGTCATGAAAAAAACATAGATCATAAAAGAGAAGGTGAACAATATTAGGTTGAATTCTCAATCCCATACGTCTCTACAAGTTAGCTAATGGCTAGTGAGGAGGATACGACAATTTATGGAGTATTAATTAGGTTGAATTCTCAATCTCGGACGTTTCTACAAGCCAGCTAATGGCTAACGAGGTTTGAATGATTGTCCAAATTTGATCGTCAGAGACTTTTGGATAATATTACAGTTATGTTATATGATTTTGTTATATTCTTAATATAATGAAATTAATATTTACAGGGGCATTTAACTTACAAAATGTGATATTGCCTTATCTAACAAGATTATATTCTAAAAGATAATGTGAGATTATAAGAAAGTAACATTATTAACTTATGCGTTTAGTTAAAATGTTAAAAATATAATATTCTTGAAATTCATTACAAAAATTATACATTAAATATAAAAGGGTAATTTTAAAATATCTAAAAGTCCTGTTACAATACACTGCTGAAATTTACGATTTTCCGACCACTTCTTCGACCACCTAAAAGTATGGTCGCAAACTAGTGTTTTTTTTTCCTTTTTTGGTCAGGCACTTGAGTGATCGGAAATTTCCGACCACTTCTTAGAGTTGTCGGAAAGTTCCGACCACTTCCAAAAGGTGGTCGGTAAGCTATTCGGATTTTTCCCAGCCGACTTCCGAAGAATTCGCAACCACCTTCTGTGGTCGGAAATATCCGACCACTCTAATAAGTGGTTGGGAATATCCGTCCACTCTAACAAGTGGTCGGAAAGTGTCCGTATTGTGTCCGTATTATTATTTTAAAAGTTGCTAGTTTCGGGTGGTCGGAAATTACTTTGTATTTACTCCAAAAATAGACCTTCTGTTCAGTTTTATACTCTTCTCTCTCTACTCTCCTTTCTCTCTCTCTCTTTTAACCCCTTTCTACAGATCTATTTCTTCATTTCTACTGGATTTTTTTGCTAAACCACTCACAATAATGTAAAAATCAAGCAAGGTATGTATATATATACTTAGAACTTTCATTTGTGTCATTTTTTTTTAGATCTAGCTAGTTTGAACCTTTTGTTTTGTTTTGTTTTGTTTTGTTTTTTTTTTTTTTGTTTTGTTTTGTTTTTTTTTTTTTTTTTTTTTTTTTTTTTTTTTTTTTTTTTTTTTTTTTGCAGGAATTTTTGACTAAGTGTTGAAACCAAGGTAAGATATTTGTATATATTTTTGGATTTTCTGTTTATGTCATTTTTTTTTTTTTGTAGATCTAGCTTTAATTTTTTGTATATATTTTTGTGAATACATTTTAAATTTATTTATTTATGTAGTGTGTGTATGTGTGTCTATATATATATATATATATATATATATATATATATGTGTGTGTGTGTGTGTGTGTGTGTGTGTGTGTGTGTGTGTGTGTGTGTGTGTGTGTGTGTGTGTTTATAATTATTTGTATATTTATGATTTTTTAACCTAAGATTTTAATTTATATGTTGTGTATTTATTAGTAAGTTCATAACATAATTATTTAAATTATTTATATATGTTGTGTTTGTATTGTATATACTTTTGCAGTTGTTTTACATGGCTAATATACCTGAACATCGAAAATGGATGTATAATCGGTTGTTACCAGGACGAAAGGGGTACACTAATGAGTTTTTAGCGGGTGTTGAGGAATTTATAAAATATGCAAGCACACTTCATGTTTATGAGATTTCAATGCAGATTAGGTGTCCATGTAGTAAGTGTAAGAATAGAGTACACTTATCTGCAGATGATGTTCGTGTTCATTTGTATAACAAGGGTTTTTAACCAAATTATTGGGTTTGGACGTGTCACGATGAGCTTCCCCCCTCAATACAACCACATATGAATGAGGGCCCTAATGAAAATAATCGGTATGAACAAATGGTTTTTGATGTATCTGGTCCATCATTTTTTCCACTAAATACCGAGAATGACCAAGATGAAGAGCCACATAGTAGTGCAAAAAACTTCTATGATTTGTTAAATGCTGCGAGACATCAATGAATGTTAGTGAAGAAACAGAGCTGGCATATACATTGAGGATGATGAATATCAAGACAACTTTTAATATACCGCAGCTAGCAATGGATCAGATATTTCAGTATATTAACTATTTGATGGGTCCCAATAATCGAGTACCTACCAGGTATTATGATGCAAAAAAATTACTTACAAAGTTTGGTCTTGGACATGAGAAGATTGATTGTTGTGTAAACAGTTGTATGTTGTACTATAAGTCCGAAATCAATGACAAACACTGTAAGTTTTGTGGTGAGCCAAGATTTAAACCACACCCACCTGGATGTACTCGTGCAAAAGATGTGCCACGCAAAAGAATGCATTACCTTCCTCTCATCCCTAGATTGCAACGTTTGTATGCATCACATAGCTCTGCTTCACACATGCGGTGGCATTATGAAAATCGCCGCGAACCTGGTATTATGTGTTATCCTTCAGATGGTGAAGCATGGAAGCACTTTGATAGAAGGTTTCCTGATTTTGCAGCAGATCCTAGAAATGTGAGATTAGGCTTATGTTCTGATGGATTTTCTCCTTTTGGTTTCAATGCGAAGCCGTACTCTTGTTGGCCTGTTATGGTTGTTCCGTATAATCTCCCACCTTCAATGTGTATGACTACACCATACACATTCTTAACATGTATTATTCCTGGAAAAAAGAACCCAAAAGCCAATATTG